AATGCTCAGCTCGTAGGTAACTCCCTCACCCTGGGCCATCCCTCTGTGGCTCCATCCTGGGGTTCTCTGAATCCAGCTTTTAGGGAGGAAAGAGAGAAACGGGGAATTGAGGAAGAAAAGGAAAAGAGAGGGGGAACACGGAGCTTCGCTTTGGAGTTTCAGGACCTAAAAATGGCAAACACAGTTTCCTCCAACGCTCAACAGGGAACCCCGGTCACACACCCCTCCTCAACACTAGAAGCAATGAGGTGTTGTCATGTGCAGAGGAAGGAGAGGGACAGTCCGCACCCGCATGACACATGACACAGCTTCAGAAAGGGAGCTGCTCAGGTGACATCATATTTTGTTTGATGGAACTAATGTTGGTGTCCCCTGAAATTCATATGTTGAAGCCCTAATTCCCAGTGTGGCTGTATTTGGAGAAGGGGCCTCTAAGAAAGTAGCTGAGGCTACGTAAGGCCACGAGAGTGGGGCCCTGATCCAATGAGATTAGTGTCCTTGTAAGAGCTGACACCAGAGACTGAGCTCACTCACTCTGAGCCAATCAGGGGACACTGCCACAGACATTCAGTTGAGAACATCGTGTCCCTGACCTTCCCCAAATGCACATCCTTCTTGCATGGCAAATGCACTCATCCCATCCCAATAGACCCAGAAGTCTTACTTCGGCATCAGCACTGAGGTATGAAGTCCTGAGTCTCAACAAAACATCACCTGAATCAGGAGTGGGTGGGACTCGGGGTGCTACTCGCCCATCCTGAAGCTGAGCTCGCCTCCAGCTGTGAACCACAAAACCCAAACAATTTCCATGTTCCCAAAATACAACAGTGAGCCAGGCATGGAGCCAGATGCTCCCTTTCCAAGAGAGAGAAGAGGCCATAGGGAAAGGGTGGTGGGGCCTACGCAAATCCAAAACCCTGAGGAAGCAATTAAGGAAAATGAGGTCACGGAGTTGAGGCAGCCAACCCAGTGGATTAGTGTCCTTATTAAAGATGACCCCACAGGCCAGGCACAGTGGCTCACACCTGTAATCCAGCACTTTGGGAGGCCAAGGCAGGAGGACTGCTTGAGCCCAGGAGTTTGAGACCAGCCTGAGCAACATAGTGAGACCCTGTCGCTACAAAATATTTGCAAATTAGCCAAATGTGATGCCCTGTCCCTGTGGTCCCAACTACTTGGGAGGCTGAGCTAAGAGGATTACTGGGCCCAGGAAACTGAGGCTGCGGTGAGCTGTGATCATGCCACTGTGCTCTAGCCTAAGGGACAGAGTGAGACCATGTCTTTAAAAAAAATGATCCCATAGAGTCTGGTCTTGCTCTCTCTCCATCGCACAAAAGGAGAGGTCACGGAGCACACAAGATAGCGGCATCCACGTACCAGAAGAAAAGGCCTCAGAAGGAGACAGACCTGGCTGACACCTTGATCTTGGACTTCCAGCTTTCAGAACTCTAAGAAAATTAATTTCTATTGCTTAAACTGCCTAGTCTACAGAATACTTTTATGGCAGCCCAAGCAGATGAAGACAGTGTGATAAGGTGGGGGAAAAAATGCTGAGAATAACTGGTGGGGAAAATAATAAACAACTTTTCTCTGAAACTTTTACTTTTTAAACAATTCGTCCCTAGGAGTTTCACTTATCCACACACACAGTCATTCATTCGAGAGGTGCACCACTGTTGACACTGTGATCACACACAGTGCTATGGCAAGACCATGATAATCCCAAACACATCGCGCCATGCTCCCAGCCACAGAGGCAGCATCGCGTTGGAGTCACATCGTAACACGTGAACTATTAGGTGACCGTGCAGGAAAAAACAGGAATCAGCCCTACATGCATGTTGCTGGAGTTCTAAAGGCAGTGGATTGCAGGTGAGGGTAAGGACCTTCAAACAGGTACAACAAGAAACCTTTCTGGCCTACGAAGGAGTTTTGGAGACTGAGTCAGGGCAGGACAAAATGGATTGAGAAACAGGCTCTGCCATTACGAAAAAGAATGAAATCATGTTCTTTGTAGCTACATGAATGTAGCTAGAGGCCGTCATCCTAAACGAATGAACAGAAGCAGAAAGCCAAAGACCACATGTTCTCACTTAGGAGTGGGAGCTAAACACGGGGTACTCACAGACATGAAGATTGGAGCAGACACTGGGGAACACTGGTGGGCGGAGCAGGAGGGAGGGGCTGAGAAACTAACCGCTGGGTACTGTGCTCACTACCTGGGTCACTCATACACCCGGCCTCAGCATCACTCAAACCTGCACTTGTACCCACTGAATCCAAAACGTACGTTTAAAAAAAAAAAAGAACCCAGAAAAAAGAGCTGGGTGCAGTGACTCACGCCTGTAATATCAGCATTTTTAGGAGGCCAAGACTGGCAGATCCCCTGAGGTCAGAAGTTCTAGACCAACCTGCCCAACATGGCAAAAGCCATCTCTGCTAAAAACTACAGAAGAAAGATTAGCCGAGTGCAGTGGTGTGCACCTGTAGTCCCAGCTACTTGGGAGGCTGAGGCACTAGAACTATTTGAACCTGGGAGGTGGAGGTTGCAGTGAGCCGAGATTGTGCCACTGCGCTCCAGCCTGGGTGACAGAACTAGACTGTGTCTCAAAAAAAAAAAAAGAAAGAAAGAAAGAAACCGGCTGTGGATCTGGGGAGAGGAAGTGCCCTCCCTTGAGGGCACCGTGGCCACTGCCTGGAGCCGCCCTGCAGGACTGAACATGTGCACGTGGGTGCCGTGGCCTCCTGGCTGGCAGCCGTGGCCTCCCGCCTCCTCCAGCTGGGGTGGGTGGAACCTCCCAGCCAGCAGTGTCTCCACTCTGCCCTGTCTGGTCGGGGCCCTTGTCACTCTGGAAGAAGACTGAGCATCACTGTCCACCTGGCATCCGCTGGCCATGCAAACCCTGCCTAGGGAGTCGAAGAGGCCTTCATCTGCGGAAACGTGATTCTGTCCAAACGTGATTCATTCCACCCCAGCTGTTCCTCAAATGACCCCACGATGGGGCAGCCGGGGCTCAGGTCGCTCCGTTCATAGTGGGAGCCAAGGGCGGGGATCCAGGCCTGCAGGGTGTGGAGAGCAGGCAGTCAGGCTCCACCACGGGCCCCTCTCTAGGGCCACTGCCTTGTCAGGGTGCCGTCCGCCTTCACTCGGGTTCTGTCCCAGCTGCAGCTGCTCCAGCCTACACCCACAGGATGCAAAGTCTGCGGCTGTCCTTGAGTTCAGATCCTGCTTTTCCTCGGAGCAATCTGGTCACCAGTTCAGTGCAAGGGTCAGGGTCAAGACGGCTGGGCGGTGTCCCGGCTCTGCTGCCCCCTGCCATGTGACTTTGTCACATTCCTTCCATAGCTAAAAAGGAAAATCTTCTCACCTTCCTGGGCTGGCAGGGGAGACGGTACCGGGCCTGCACTTCCACCTTTACTGCAGAAGAATTAGGAGGGAGAGGGGCTAGCTTGTTCTGAGGCAGGTTTTTCACTCCTGGCAGGCAGCGCTGTTTTCATACAAACATGTTTTATTGCCTACAAGTGGGATTTGTGAAGACTAGCTTTCTTACCTTTATTAATCAGAGAACTGTGCTTATCAGCAGCAATGCCTGGACAGCATCAGCGTCCACACACTGGAAATGTGGAAGCCCAGCCCAGTGCCTGCACAGCACCCCGACATGCCTGGTGGAAACGTGGAAACCCCAGTGCCTGCACAGCATTAGCACACGCCTGGTGGAAACAGAAACCCAGTCCATCAGTAAAAGAAACCGTTTCCTGCCTCACGGATGAGCTGATTTATTGATTTGGCTGCTCAGAGGCTGGGGCAATGCCTGCAGCCACTGGGAGAAATGATGATAATGATGAAAACAGTAAGCGTTAATAGTCACGGCCATCATCTCTGAGCACTTCTACCACGTGTGGGTACTGTGCCGAGCACTTAAGAGGCTGTATTGTGTTTAATCCTTACAAAAACACCAGGTGGAAATGAAGATGATTTGCTTGTACATTAGGAAAATGGCCTCCCCAGGCTCCTGAGTGACAGAACTCAGGGTCCAACCAGGCTTCCCTACTCCAAGGCCTGCAACGGCTATGCCAGCCGCACTGCCCCTGATGAAAAGGTTAGGGCCCCAAGTCCAGGAAAAGGCAGTGATGCAACCATGGGCCCAAAGGAGCCAGGGAAGGGCGGCCGCAGAGCCACACTCTGGCTGCACCCTCATGCTACTGGGGTGTGCTGCCTTTCCAGAGACCAGGAGTCGCCTTATCACTAACCACATGTGACGGGGTGTGCAGGGCACACATGTATGTGTCTGTGTGCATGTGTATTACACATATATACATGTGTGCCTGTGCCTGTGTGTGTGCGCGAGTGTGTGCTTGTGTGTGTGTGCACGTGTGTGCCTGTGTACCTATGTGTGCGTATCTGTGTGTGCACATGTGTGCCTGTGTACCTATGTGTGCATATTCATGTGTGCACATGTGCCCTAGATGCATTTTGTGTGATGCTGTTTGCATATATGCAAATGTGTGCATCTGTGTGCATGTGCAGGAAGGTGAGAAGACGCTGTGGAGTGAGCCATAACTGGCCGTTTAGCCAGGAGACCCTGAGACTGCTGGCTGCATAGACACTGGCTCTGAGATACTCAGAAGACGATGGTGGCCCATCATCCCTGTAAAAATCTGCTTCTCCCCAAAAGACTCCTCCAGCCACTTCTCTGAGAGGCCAGGAGCGGGGAGTGAACGCTGTTTCCATGGGGAGGTCGGCAGAGGTCAGGGTTTCTGCTGAGAGCAACGCTGGGGTTAACCACTCACAAACCACTCAATATGATTCTGAGCTCTTGGAGCATACCTGGAGACAGGCCATGTGTGGCCACACAGGGACAAGGCTGTGAGGCGGGGAAGAGAGAAGGCCCACGTGTGGCCACATAGAGATGAGGCTGTGAGGAGGGGGAGGACAGTGCCCATCATCCTCTGCTGCTCCTGCTCAGCCCAACGTGGAGGCCTGTGCTTATGTCTTTCAGGAATTCGCAGACTCCATATCCCAGCTGGTCACAGAGAAGTTCCGAGAGGTGACGATGGACCTCACACCCGTGCATGCCCGCCACAAAGCACTGGCAGGAATCGTCATGACCAAAGGTAGCCTCCTCTTTTTCTGTGGGCGTTTTCATCTGTAAAGAGAGGAGCGTTAACATCTACCTGATCTCGGAGACCAAACGGTTCTCTCTTCCATACCAAGCTGTGGCAAAGAAAGACAAAATACCACACAGAGATCAGTAGCCAGAGTGTATTAGCAGGAAGAGCCATCCTGACCATGGTGCCGTAGTTAGGCTGCCAGGGCCTGGCTCTGCACAGGCGTCCCCCATCTCTGGGAGGCCTGGCCAGCCCTTCCGGAGAACCCGAGTCTCCTGAGAGCCCTGAGTCCCCTTCGCTGGGGTGTAACCTGCCCCAGAACATCCTCCTTCCTGCCGAGATTCCCCATCCCAAACTCATAGGGAAGGAATTCCACTCTGAGAAACAAGAGTGACCCAGACATAGGGGGACGCTGAGAGCCAAGGAGGCAGCCTCCCCAGTCAGCCAGGATCGGGGGACAAACAAGGGCTAAATCTGAGCGGTGGGCACTGTGGAAAAGACAAGCCACCAGCCCATTCATAACAAGCCAGCTGGTTGTCTGAATTCAACTATTTCCCTCTCCAAAGTGTTGCACGAGTGTGTAGTGACCTCCTCATTACACTCATGACACTCACACACCAGAGAGCCACTACTATGAAACAGTAACTGACTTTTGGGTTAAGTTTCACATACACGCTTGCTCTGCATGTGCCGGCAAAATCTAAGGCAGAAAAAGACCATCAACCTGATACACAACATATTTATGTTAAATAATGGTGGCTCACACCTGTAATCCTAGCACTTTGGGAGGCCGAGGTGGGCAGATCATGAGGTCAGGAGTTCAAGACCAGCCTAACCAACAGAAAGAGGCACAGCCCCCACTCAGGGTACAGCAATCTCACTGAGGAAGCAGTAAGTTTGGTGGGCCAAAACATCATCCTAGCACAGAATCCAGCCCTACCTGCACAGAGCTCTGTGACCCATGGACAGCCACTGAGCCTTCTGGGACTCTGTTCTCTCACCTTTAAAACGGGGGTAATAGTAACACCTGCCTGACCAGATTATTTTGCAGGTTAAACATGTTCATGTATTTCCAGCTCTTCGAAAGTTACCCGGCCCACAGTTAGTACTACGTGTTAGTTAATGATTGGTAATGGCACTGTTTTATTAAAAAGTACTTAGTGCCTGGCATACAATGTTCTGGGGAAACAAAAGAGACCAAGTGCCTACCCTTGTGACTCTTAGATTCCAGTGGGGAATGGTTCATAAAGAGCAATTTAAATCCAAAATAAAAAGAACTATAAAAGAATTACAGGCCGGGTGCGGTGGCTCAAGCCTGTAATCCCAGCACTTTGGGAGGCCGAGGCGGGTGGATCACAAGGTCAAAAGATCGAGACCATCCTGATCAACATGGTGAAACCCCATCTCTACTAAAAATACAAAAAATTAGCTGGGCATGGTGGCACGTGCCTGTAATCCCAGCTACTCAGGAGGCTGAGACAGGAGAATTGCCTGAACCCGGGAGGCGGAGGTTGCGGTGAGCCGAGATCGCGCCATTGCACTCCAGCCTGGGCAACAAGAGCGAAACTCCGTCTCAAAAAAAAAAAAAAAAAAAAGAATTACATACACACAGAGCTGTTGGTCCACATAAAACTTCGGTAAATTTTCAAATGTTGAGTGTTATACAGATTTCTGCTACAGATTTCTGAAAAACTCACTTTAAATTAATGTCTTGGTCTGAAAAGAAAAGGAGGGTAGGTAGTAGAAGAGGGAGGGGAAGCAGAGGGGAGAGGCACAGCCACTCTGGCTTCCTTATTGTGCAGTCCCAGAGACGTCAGTCAGTATGACCTGGAAAGTAATTTGTTTAGCATTTCTCGGCTCCGGAACTGATTGTCCAATATCTTTCCATTTCTGGGGTAACAAATCCAGCGAGTTTTAGAAACTACTCTCAAACTTCACGTGGAAAAGAGTAATGTTTTACAGAGGCTTGTGGGGAAATAATAGTTCTAGGTTGCCAGAGAATACTTATGTGTACGTAATTTATCTATATGAATTGAACTTATTATATGAAAATGAGACTTCACAAGGTAGAGCTTCACTAATTAGTGACTTCTGAACATTAAAGAACTTGCCAAAATTTACTTTCCTATTGCAAAGAGATAAACATTGGTTTTTAAAAATTAGAAACGTACAAAATAACTAATACAAACACTTTCAGATACTCATTTACTTAAAGTTGATGTGCCATTTACTCTTAATTCTAGTTCAGTTACTCAAGCAAATGCCTAAGAAATTCTCAGAGTAATGCATCTTGTTCTAGTTGCTGTATATATCACGATGTTTTAAAACTAAACTTATTTTTAAATACACAATTTGATTTGCCCCTCCAGTTTTTGGTGGAATGCCAACTCACATTAATTAGCTCCTGAAAGTTCTGTTTATGAATCAGAGACCATTTCTTAGCCATTATGAGAAATATGATCACGGAAATATGTACTTGTTAACAGAATAGTTTCTATTTTTTAACAAAGTAATGCAGTCATATGGTAAAGATTCTAAAGGAGAGAACTTCTGAAAGAAAAGCCATCTTCTCCCACTTTATCCACTTCCCTTCACTCAGAAGCCACTCTAACCATTTTCAATTTGGTTCTTGTGACTCTAAGTACCATATTGCTTCTATATGTCTAGATTTTCAGTTTTAGATACCATCTATTGACTCATGCTATTAAAATTTGATACTTTTTCATTTTCCATTATTATGTTTGTAATGCACAATTATAGATAATAAATCTTATTGCATCAAATTTAGAAGATATGATTTCACTCCCTGTTCTGTGAGTTGAGGATGGCAGCCCTCAGCCTCTCCTCCACTAGCCAGCTTCTCCCAGTTATAAATGTTACATCTTTACACCACCATAACTGGTATTTATATCCTTTCTTATGTCCATAAGTCTTCTCTATTTTGTCTTTTGAGTGATTCTAAGAGCTGAACAGCATCTACCTGATGAGAGATATTCCCAGCACAGAGCCAAGCAGAACCCTGTTCAACCCTCCCAGCAGAGTCCCCCCCAGAAAGGGAGCCTGGCTACCTAGCATCAGGGCCACACAGATGCTGCCTGCTTCCACCCCAAGCTCCAAGTCATGCTGTTTAAGTTTGATTCACCTGCATTTCTAGACTTATAGTTCGCTTTTGAACTATTGTGTAGTTTTTTTTTTTTTTTTCTGGAATGTCTTTTTTCTTACTGAAAAAGAAAAAAAAAAAAAAAGGAAGATTGTGCCTTTACCATACATGCTAAGTCATGTGGCCTCTAGGGCAGATCTCACAGAGAGCACCTGCCTCCGTCCTGGAGAACTACCCTGCCAGGCCAACGAGGTGCGTGCTCTGCAGAGCCTGCATCCTGCTCTCCCGGTTGGACACCTATCTCTGAGATCACTGTCGTCTTCCCGCTTTTTCTCCATTCATAAAAAGCTTCTTCCAGAAGCATCATCTAAAAGGATGGTAGATCAACTTTGTGAATATTCCCACATCTCAAAATGCCGTGATTTGCTTCTCATCCGTCTCAACAGGTTGTCTCAATAGGGTCATAGGTGGGGAATTCTAAACTTTCAATCATTTTCCCTTAGTATTTTGGAGGAATGTTTCCATTATCTTTTATCCAATATTTCTGATGAGAAATGTTGTGCCTGCCTCATGTTTTCTCTGCAGTGACCAGCACTCACCCCTACCTGGGAGGGGGAAAGGCTTTTTTTTTTTTTTTACCTCGGATATAAATAGATGTTTAGGTGGTAGCCATTCACCTTTCTTGGCATAGGTAAGCTATTTGTATATTTCTCTTTATATCCTGTGTCTCATGAATTCCTTCATTTACACACATTTTTCTTAAATTTTGAATGCTCTGTGTTAATCTACTTTTACTTTTTAAATTTTAGTCTCTTCGTTCTTTCAATGTTTTTGGAGATTTCTTCAATGTATCCGACAGCTCTTCAACTGCCTTTCCCTCCTAATTTTTGCCGCCTGTTTTCATTCTTTCGGTCTCTCCCTTATCCTCATTCTTCCTCTCGGGGGAGCCTCTTGTTCTGCAGCTTCGACTTCTGCTCAGCTCCTCGGAGGAGGCGCCCGGGCCCGTGTCCTGCAGGCCCGGGGAGTGGCTTTCTGTTTCGCGTGGTTTTCCTCCCGCGTCCTGCGGACGGTTCCCGTCTGTTCACAGAGCGCGCGCGTGTGCACAGGCCGTCAGACTGGCGTGTGTCCTCCGGGGCGGTGGCATGTGTCCTCCGTGGCGTGTGTCCTCCGTGGTGGTGGCATGTGTCCTCCGAGGCGGTGGCCGGCCGGTCCTTCTCCCACAGGCTCCCGCCCGGGTGGGAAGACGGCCTGGGGCCGGTTTCCATCAGCGCAGATCTTGGGGTTCGCGGGCACCGCCCCCCGGCGCCATGAGGTCGGGCCCCAGCCGCGCCCCTCTCAGGCGGTCCCTCCCTCCCTGCAGCTGGGACTCCATCTTCCGTGCTGAGCAAAGGCTTCCAGCCTCAGACGTTCTCCCCACGAAGCAGAGGCTTGGCCAACTGCTGCAGCCATTTATGAAAAGTAATCCCGGGAGCCCCACGCCAGGAGCGCCCGCTGCTGCCCCGAGACCTCCCGGTCCGCCCCCTCCGCCGCGTGGAGGCTCCGCGCTCCTTCTCCCCGTCACCCGCCGAGCCCGGCTCACCTGCCGTCTTCCCGGAGGGCGTGGACCTCGCTCGGGCCGAGTTCTGGAAGAGTCTGGCCGGACTCGGGGGTGTCCTGGGCCGTGGGCCCAGCTCAGGTCATCCTGGTCGTGGGCCCGGCGTGGGCCCGGCTCAGAGCGTCTTCCCGGGGAGCCTCACCCCCCGCCCAGGCCCGTCTTCCCGGGGAGCCTCGCCCCCCCCAGGCCCGTCTTCCCAGGGAGCCTCACCGCCCCCCCGGGGAGCCTCACCGCCCCCCCAGGCCCGTCTTCCCGGGGAGCCTCGCCCCGCCCCAGCCCCGTCTTCCAGGGGAGCCTCGCCCCCCCTCAGGC